AAACTTTTATTATTTTATTACTATAATATATATTAAATATATTTAGGTACCATGATAAAAATTTTTACTAATGTTTATGATATATTTACATCCACTAAAGAAAATACATATAATATTTAATTTATTAATATATATTTCTTTTTATATAAAAAAATAAATTCATATCTATATAATTGATTTTTTTTATTATTTAATAATAACTCTCATATTTTTTTTGTGTATCTGTAGCATATAATTTATACAGTTATTTTTGTATACTCATATAATTTGTAATAATACGATTTTTTTATAGAAAAAATGATAATATATTTGATGTTAATAATAAATAAAGAGGAGATGAGAAAATTCTTAAGAAAGTTTAATATAAGTCCTAAGGTTTTATTTAATGATTTCTAACTTGGGTATCTCCAACTTAATTTTTATAACACTTATAATAATTTCAATATATTTATTTTAGCTCTGAACATTTTTAAAATTTTATTGGTCTATTCCTTTATTCTCCAATTAATTTTAAATATTTTTTTCTTACTTACTTAATATGTCTTACTTGAATATCCACATATCTGAAATCTAACTAGTGTTTGTATTTTTTTTCATGGTGATATATAATATTATACATTTTTTTTCTTCTTATAGTATGAGAGTTGCTCATATGATCATTAAGATTTGCTTCAAGTTTGTTGATAACAATCCCACTAAATTCTTAACCACTAGATTCGTACGAAGCTAACACTTTATGTCTTAATTCATTCGTCCAATAAAGCCATATAAGTTCATCATATTGTACCGTGAACACCTCATTCTAAGGGATTTAGATACTTAACTTATTCTTATACGAGACATTTTTTTAAGACTCTTTCCTCACTTGACTTACGTATTTTTTTTTCATGTTTTTGTTATTAAATTCCTCATGTATTTTTCAGATAATGAATTTAAAAATTCGTAAGAGTCATGATTCTAGTTTTTGACGAATTTTGTTGTGGTTTCATTAACTTGAAAATAATAAACAGATAGTAATGCTAAATTTTTTTTAAAATAAAATATTTATAATAGATAAACAGATATAGTATAGATGAGATTGAGAGAAACTTTAGAATTTTTACAGTGCTCAATCTTTACTTGAAACTTTAATAATTTTATAGAATAACTAAAATATTTGTTAGTATTTTCAACATATTAAAAAAAGTCATGATATTATCGAGAATGATGATGTATGTTAAAATTATGAAGTACGTGATTCTCTTTTGATCACCTAATATATGTTTACTGTACATATTAATTAAGTTGAAATGTTCAAATAAAAGAATAAGATGTATTAATAGCTCACATATATATTATTAATCAATGTCATATTTAGCAACAACAAATAAACATTGAAAAGGAAAAAGAACATAAAGAAGTAACAACATGTACATTTACTTAATGTCATAATTAGAAAACACTTGGAGAGTTAGCTTGAGCATTATCGGCACGTAAAAGCACTTGATTTGCTAGCTTTTAAATTTATGCAATTATTATCATGACTCCACATTAATTCATAAAAAGAAATTAACATTGACATAACATCACATAAATTCTAATTAATATATAATTTTGCCAACCAATAGGCTAAAATTTGTAGTTACCCAAATCATAGTTTAAGATACTCATCTAAAATAAAATAAACATATATTACAATATATATATATATATGTATATAGTTGTAGTTAGCTAGCATGATTAATGATTATAGTTTGAATTAATTAACTTAATTTTCAATAAAGATTCACTACTTTTGACCGGATGAAAATGTATTTCACCCGTTTGAACGCCACAACTCATTATTATTCTTGTTATTATTTTAATATAGATTACATTAATGTACTGTCCATATGTCTTATTAATTAGAATGTAGTAAAGCATAATTTAATTTACATCCTATACCTATATATATATGTATATTATATTAGGGATTGATATGGTGTTAGTTAAATAAACTATTCCACAAACGTACGGTGTGTGATTAGCAAACAAATTAGATATATACACATAATTTTTGGATTTATAAATGGATGGGGAATTATTTGGAAGCTTTTTATGGTGATGATCATCATCGAGTATGTAAGTTGTCGTGCAAGTTTTCCATCTCTTCAAACCAAACTATGTGGTGATTATAAACACACATAGATAAGTTATTATAAGGGATTATATTATATATATAATGCCCACTTATAGTATTAACTCTATTTAATTAGATTTAATATTAGCCTATCATCAATACATATTGTAACAGTTCAGATTTAAAAAAAAAAATTATAAATTAAATGTAAAAATAAAATAATAAAGTATTCTTTACATAATAATTTAAAATATCCAATAGAGATACGAGAATTACATTTATAAAAGAACAAGTGAAAAATTAAGAAATAAATGAAAAGTAAATAATTAGATATTTTAAAACGATCTTCACTAGAGTTTGAAGGGAGTTCATGTGGTGAACTATTTACAACTCCCTTGTTGATCGAGATCTAGATATTGATCATCTTAATCTGAAATGGGTGAGTTACACTAATTCAATAAAAATATCACACTACTCACCGATACAGAAATGAAAAATCATTATTATGAATTTTGAGAATATATGTAAGTAAGTAAAAAAATTTATTTTAATTTTTCACAAAAAAATATGAAATAAAAATTTAAAATATATTAATCATATTTGTGACGTTTGAATTTATGTGTTCTTCTAAAATATTTAAAAAGTTATATATATATATATATATAATAGACTGTTTACAAAAGGAGAAAAAGAATTGAGAGCAAAACATTTTTATAAATCAATAAGAACGTAGAATATATACTGAGAGAATATTTTAGAGAAATAGAGAAGTTCGAGATAAAAAATTAGTTTAATTTTGTCACTATAGTGATAATACAAATTTATTTTATCGTATCATACAAATTTAGACAATTATTATATAATATTTTTAAAAATATTGATGAGAAGTTAAAATCTTCCAGTGACGAGTTGGTTTATATATATTAATTATTATTGATTAAATAACCTATTTATCAGTCAACTAGTTTATATGTTAAAAGTAACATTACAATTAAATCATAGATCACACATGAGATAAATAAGAGTAAGTTATTATATTAATCGCTACAATTTGATATTTTTTGCAGTTTAATTCTTAATATTATTTTTGTTATAATTTGATTATTAATATTTTTTATTTGTTTTGAACGCTCAATTCTCTTTTAAAAATATGAAGTATGCTTTTATTATTACTAATTTATTAATAAAAATAACATTGTGAGCTATTTTTAAAAATATTCAAAATATGATGTAATTAATTTAATTTAAAAAAAAAATAAAAAAAGATGAACGTTTAAAATAAATAAAAAAATTATATTATAACAAAAAAATATTTTATAAATGTATTCGGTTTCAAAAATTAATTTGATAATTTACCCTATAAATAATTAGCAAGTCATATAAACATGGCTAGTAAGCCATAAGTTACTAAGCCAAAAATAATAGGCAATATGGCTAGTAGATTATAACATGTTCTGCTGCATAGTTACATAATCCACTCCAAATTTAATAATTAAATTAAAATCTAAATTTATTTACTATCAAGACATCCTAATGGACTCTAATCAACAAGCTAGTTCCTAGGTATTAAGATCTGCCCATGTATTATAATTCAAATATAACAAACTTAATACATAAATAATTTTTTATTTAAAAAGGTGTATATTCTTCCTCTTGAAGCAAGTGAAATAATTAAATAATTTATTTTATGGGTTGTTGAATTTATGGTTTATTTTTATTTAAATGTTATAATTTTTTTTTGTTAGGTGAATAATGCAGTGTAAGACAAGTGGATGAATGTCGAGAGGCGTAGCTTTGACCACACAGTTAAAAAGTCAAAATTAGAGTTGAAGTAACCAACACCGCATGATCATACTGTTGCACGATTGAATTCATGTTCCCTTGGCTTCAAGAAGAGGCATTAATCCACCGTGGGCCCCACCCACGCAAACACCAGAATTAAACATAAACCTATTTTCCTTAAACTTACAATTAAATATAATTTTGTTTTTTAATTTTTATATTTTGAATAAATTTTTTGTAAAATAGTTAAAATGAATTACCAAGGTCACGTGACAGGTGGTCCTTCTTTTAACGCCTCCAAATCTGGTGGTCATAAAAGTCAGATCTTGACAAGTCATCGTCGAGGATCCGACGGGCACAGTTGGCCTACCAAGATACATGTTCCACATCTAACAAATACTAGTATTAATTTTTTAGTGCAAGAATTTTAATAGAGTAAATTTAATTAATTAATTAATATATATATATATTATATAATTTTTTAAAATAAAAATATCAAAATATACATAATACCCATTCGAATTTTACGTTTTTTATTAAAAAATAAATAGGAATTAAGAGAAAAATGTTTAAGGTGACTGAAAAACACTAAATAAACATGGATCAAAAGGAGACAAAGCCAAAAATAATGATTTAAAATTGTCACGTGTGTCTCCTAGCCAGCAAACCATAACCATTCCCAATTTTTCACATTATATTATATTTTATATATATATATATATATGTACATTTCCCACTCAAACGTATTATTCAATAAATATTTCACCTATAAATATAAACCCCATAAGTCCATAACACATATAATCTCATTACCAACATTTTCCTTCACTCTCACACATCTCAATCTTCCCTATTCCACATTTATTTTTTTAATTATAATCGTAGATTATTTTTCTTATATATATATATTTTTTTAATTTTAAACTATTTTTTGAAAAAAAAAAAAACAAGTTCCATGGTGTCGGCTGAGAGAAGCCAAGCGAAGAAGGTATGCGTGATCGGAGGGGGACCGTCGGGACTCGTAGCCGCGAGGGAGCTACGGAAAGAAGGCCACAACGTCGTCGTTTTGGAGCAAAACCACGACGTCGGCGGGCAATGGCTTTATCAACCGAGAGTGGAAGGAGAAGACGCACTAGGACGGAACAAGACGTTGAAGATACACAGCAGCATATACGCGTCGCTGAGACTGACATCACCGAGAGAGATAATGGGGTTTACAGACTTTCCATTCATGATGAAGAAAGGGAGAGACATGAGGAGATTTCCTGGGCATAAAGAGCTATGGTTGTACTTGAAAGATTTCTGCGACTGGTTCGGGTTGAGGGAGATGATAAGGTTCAACACGAGAGTTGAGTACGCGGGCATGGTGGATTACGGGGAGTTTGGTAAGGAGGTCAAGTGGGTGGTGAAGAGTAGAGATGTGAAGAAGAAGGTGGCGGTGACGGAGGAGGAGGTGTTTGATGCGGTGGTTATCGCTACTGGTCATTACTCCCAACCCAGGCTCCCATCCATTAAAGGTACTTGTGTATATTATCATTTACGTTTTATCTTAAAATTTTAATAATTAATTTATATAAGCGGATTAAACATGTATTTTTCATTTTTATATGTAAAAAAATTACAAATCAATTCCTCCATAAAAATGATCTTGTAGTTTCATAAAAAAGGTTGACCAATTAATATTTATGATCATGAGAATGGATCACACCCGCCAGCCTGTATGACATGATATATACACATTTGCTACATAAGCAACTTAATCACAGGTTAATCCGACGGAAATATATATATATATATATATTATTAATTATTGAAATTTATTTATAAAAAATTAACAGTATTTAGAGAAGAAAATTTTAAGATTTCCCAAGTCTATATCTACATAAGAACTATTTAATTGTATATTGCACATGTAAATGGATAAGAAGTAATTATAAATACTTAATTTTAACTTGTTTGATTACACATTTGATCATAGGCATGATTAATTTAAAATTTTCTCACGTAATCATTTTATTTGGGGTTATGATTATGTGTTTAGGAATGGATTCATGGAGAAGAAAACAACTGCACAGTCACATATACAGGGTTCCAGAGCCGTTTCGCAATGAGGTTAATTAATTTAGATGGTAATTAATTAATTAGTAATTAGCATTAGAATGAATTAATTAGGCACGCAAGAAATGCAGGTTGTGGTGGTAGTTGGGAACTCGCTGAGTGGACAAGATATATCAATGGAGCTTGTAGAAGTGGCAAAGGAAGTACATCTGAGTTCTAAATCTCTTAATATTCCTGAAGGTCTTTCTAAAGTCATCTCTAAGCATCAAAACTTGCATCTTCACCCTCAGGTTTTTACTTTTTATTTTTTACGGATCAAATGTATTATTTAATATATTAATTAATTAATTAATTAGTAGTAACTGTACATGCAGATTGATTCCCTCGAAGAAGATGGTCGGGTTATATTTGTGGACGGCTCTTGGATCATAGCGGACACTATCTTGTACTGCACAGGGTAATTATTAACTAAATACTCCTATAATTAATTTACAGTCTTAAAAGATTCAAACTTTAAATATGTATCACACAACTATATATATATATATATATGTTAAAATTAGTAGTGGGAATTACTTAACAGCTCAAATTAAAAACGAAAAGGGACAAACACAAAAAAAAAAAAAAGAAGGCATGCTTTTGCATTTAAGTAAATGTCCGAAGAACTTTTTTATAAAGATGCAAAAGGAAGCATGCAAACACCTTATTTTGCACATTAATATGCATATTAATTTTGATTTTTTTTTTTTGTAAATTTGAACTTTTGACATAAATTAATCACGTATACATAGATATATGTGTATGTATATGAGATTAGAAAGACAGAAATGGCATGCATCATATTATAAATATCCTTTTAGGAAAGCAAAAAAGCAATCCATGTGTTGGGTCATGTTTTATTTATTGATTTTCATTTGAGTCAAAACGTGAAGTTGGCTGCGACTGATATCATGTTTGTCCCACAACAAAGTTAAAGATGAATTAATGAAGACCTGATTGGATGATCATGAATTTTGACTGACAGATTTTCTTCTGGTCTGCATCATGCATGCATGAGACATGCATATATATAAATGTGCGTTTGTATGTTTGTGTATATATGTATATGTAGAATGATAACATGAAAAAGAATATGAAAAATGAGTTTTGGGTTTGATTCATGCATATTGATTGATCATGTGTATGTAGGTATTCATACACATTCCCATTTCTTGACACCAAAGGAATTGTAGTTGTTGATGATGACAGAGTGGGACCTCTCTATGAGCACACTTTCCCTCCTTCTCTTGCACCTTCTCTCTCTTTTATTGGAATTCCCAGAAAGGTATTATATATATAAACATGTCTCTTTAATTAATTCATATGTATATATATATGTGTGTGTGTGTATGTAACTTTTAATGAATTATTATTGCAGCTTATAGGGTTTCCTTTCTTTGAATCCCAAGCAAATGGATAGCCCAACTGCTGTCTGGGAAAAGAAGCCTACCCTCATGCCATGAAATGATGCTCTCCATCAAACAATTTTACCACTCAAGGGAACT